TAAAGCAGCTTAAAAAAATTTTGCACAGTTCTAATTTTCATTGTGACTTTTGGGTAGGAAATATGTTCCATTAGCGTTTGGGATTTTTGGGGTTTTTTAAGCTGTTTTGGGTTTTGTTTTTTGTTTTTTGGTTTTTGGTGGTTTTTTGTTTTTTTTTTTTTTTTTTTTTTATAGTCACCTAATGGACGTTCCAGGATATTTGACTCCAAATATTAAATATTAAGCACACTCAAAGCAGGATCTTTTCAGTCTAGAAGCTGTTCATTACACTGATTTATTAGTTTGCAACCAATTTTGGACTAACAAAATAGTTATTGATTATTCCCTTAAAAGACCAATCAAAATCCTTTCATAGAACTTGAGCTCTATTTGTCCAGACAATAACTTATCTTAAAATTTTTGAATAATTCTATCATCAAGCTTGGTGACTTAACTTCTAGAAGACTAGGATTCCCCTTGTTTGGTTTATGGAAAAAAATATAAAGTCAAGATCATATCAAGTGTTCCATCAAATAAAAATTAAAACATTTTTATGCTTATTATGCTACTGTACAAACATGAAAACTGGGTATGTTGTAGTTTTCAGCTAAAAATATGTCATAAAAGATCACAACTAAATCCACTCTGAGTTAGACGGCATGTTATATAACCAGTAACAAGTCCTGTAGCACTTGGAATGCACATCCATTCTTTTGCTCAGCCAAAACAATGGGGTTGAACAGTACACCAATGAGAAGTATATCAAAGAGAATCAGGAAAGAATAAATGCTGTCATTTAAGAAAGTGCTGGAAGCACACCTTGAAGGCACACTTGCTTTAAATACAACTTAACAGTAAGTTTACGGGGCATTTTATTTAAAAGCAGGTCTTCTGTGGCAATTAGGATGGAATAAAATATAAATTCCTTCAGAAACCATGAAGTTGCACAGTGAAAGCATGCCAGAAGAGCATACCTGGAAAAAAGATCTTTTCTCCTACCCTGAGGAGTGCTGTAAAATCCACAAAAAAACATTCAGTTGTTTTTTCACCTTGAGTAGTCCACGGTCATCTCTTCCTTCTGACACTGTGATCCTCCTCTCAACAGTAAATTAAGGCATTTCTTTCAAATAATACTCTACAATCTGACAGATCAGAAATGTATATTCAGCCAGGTCAGTGTAAACAATTTGTATTTCAAAGTAACACTCATAGTTGCTAAGCTCATGGGGACTCTTACTTATAAATCATTGTAGTAGATACCAATCATATGCAATTTGCTACTGATATGGTAGACCAGCAATTTCAATTGTTACTGCAATATTAGAGACAAACTTGGATAAAATAGTAAGTGCAAGCTCTTTCTGTTATTTCAGAGCAGTTTTCTCTGGGGTAACACTGTCTTTATCCTTGAACAGAATATATATTAAAATTTGCAACTAGACAGGGTAAGAAATCATTACAGTGATGTAATTTTCAGTATACTCTCATAAAACTAGGGTTTGTTAAACATAAATATTTTCATTAAAATATTTTGTATTAGTAGTGCTAGTAGAAATATCAACTCATGATATGTTTCAGTCTTCTTTGGGACAAGAAAAGACACTTATTCCATCATTTCTTGTCAATTCAACAGGAACATCCAGATGATCACTAATCCAGAGGAGTATTCTAACTTTCACACTATAAAGAGTATTTATCCACCTTAAGTATTGGAGATAAACAGTTTTGATAGCTTCATTTTTCTAAAAAAACTCAGCTAAAAGAAAGAAAAAAGCATAAAAAACCCCAAACCAACAAACAAAGAGGAAAAAAAAGTCATAACCTTTAAAAGAATTTATTGACAACCAAATTTTTAGGGGAAATAAATGTGCTTAATTTAATGAAGATAGTTGATCATGGTCTTTGGGATTAGATGTTTCTGTGAGTTGTCCTCAAATTCCTCTGTACATATTAATCTTATCTGCTACCATGCTAACATCACTGAATCATCACTAATATTTTCTGAGCTGATCATGAAGTAAATTCACTGATAATACAGGTGTAAATAAATTCTTGTGCATGAATTTTGTTTTGTTTTTATCAGTTGCACCTCTCAAGTTTATATTTCTCAGGAGATAGCAGTGTCTAGCACAGCTATATGACAACACATGATAAAATACCTCTGCAATTCATTCCTCATTAAACAAGTGAGGTATTTATGCAACTTGTATATTGAATTTTAGACTTTTTTATTATTTAAGTTGAAGGAAATTGCATCTGGAAGAAAAGCTTGATGAAATCATGTAAGAAGAGGTTTTATACATTTTCATGATTGATTTATTATTTTGTCTACACTGATCTTTGAACAAAATTCATTATGAAAAAAAATAAAGATTATATTTTAAATGACAAAACTAACTGGTAGCAAATTATTAAATTGCTATATTAACATCTTCAGACTAAAGACCTGGTTATTTTTACATGAGACTTCATAAAGCATTGTGCTATGAATGGGTTTTACTAGAGTTAGAAATCAGCTGTTTGCCCTTGAAAGAATACTTACAAAGACTAAATGGAAGAAATCAATATTAGCAGAAGTTTGTGTTAAAAAAATAGTGAAATGCCTCTTTTTCTATTTAATTAGAATACATAAATTCCTCTTTTTCCTATTTCTACTAGAAATCCCCTATATGAAAATATAATTTATTAAAGGCATTATAAACTATGTCTTGCTTAATGACCCACATCTCGTCGTTCCTGCTACATTCTTTACATAGGTAGGATCCAACAGAGAAAAGAAAGAAAGCAGCAATGGCTTTAGCAAGGGCAGAGTAGAGGAGATGTTGCCACGGAGACAGAGCAGGAAGCTCTGAGGATGTTTACTTGGAAGTGTTGGAGTGAGCTAGACACACATGGACAGAGTACCTTAAGCACAGTATCCAAAACTATTCAGCAAAAGTGAACCTGCAGTTTTTTCTGTTTTGATAATTGCATGATTCCATTAAAGCCCCACAAACCCAAATGTTAGCAAAGCTGGAAAATGATATGGAAATCTGCTTTTTCATCAAACAAAATTCAGGAGGACAGAAAAATTTGCATATTATTATATATTGTTCATGTAGGCACTGACTTTCAATAATTCAACTCTCTGCTTCATGTTAAAATTTTATATTGAGTTATAAAATAGAAAAGCATGGAAAATACATAAAGATCAATTATTGTAAAGAAATGCCTTTGTGCTGTACAGTATTGAAATGTAAATGACTGAAGAGTTTACCAAGTTTTTATTGATTTGCTTCATGAAGCAAACTTTGCAGATAAATAATCTAGCTTTTGTGTAATGAAACTTGCCACTGACCTTCATCCAAAGAGATCCTTAGAAGCTTATAACTAGATATAGATAAAGGAGCTCACCCCTCTATCTTTTGAAGTACCACAAGAGGAAGAATGATGAAACTGTTTTAGTGCTACGTGATGTGTGAATCTAATTTTATTTAAAATGTGGTTAACTTTACAAAGACATCATTATAATGATTTTAAACTGAATAATAAAGTTTGAAAACAGATTTATTTCTCATTTTACTGAAATAAATTTTGTAAACTGTATTTCAGCTGAGCAGATTGTACATGCTAAAAAATAATGTACAGAATGGCAGGGTTGTTTAGCCTTGACAATTTAAAGTGAATATGCATGTGTTTTGATTTTGATATGCTAACCAAGATCATTCATTTGAAACTGGCAACACTGAGTTGAAATGTATAGGAAATCATAGGTTGGCTCCTGTTCTAATTTGTGCTATATTTTAAACAGGAATAGTGTTTTACTTTTTTTTAGTCTGTATTTAAATTTAGTTGCTTTTGGAAATTTCTGTCACGGAGGTAGCTTAACATTGCTTTTTTTTCACCTTTTCTGTCTGCATAAAATAAAACTTTCTGTTGTGTTCTCTATTCCTGACTGTATAAAGCCTTTTGGGAGCGCTACTTGTTCTGGTGCCTCCACCAAAACTTTTTGGATAATCCAGGGTATCAGTCTGTATTGCAGTGGTCTGATCACAGTCAAGTATCTGTATGCAAAGTAACCCTCTTTTCATTATGAGTACCATTTCACCTTTAACATTTTTGAAATTCATGAGCCATCCCTCTGTTCAATAAGTCTTATGGATTCCTCATAAATACCTCATTACTGGTGTCTACTTATTGATTGTTGATTTTTAATTTTGGCCTTGGGAGTCTTTGGATGAAAAACTTTTATGTTTTTTGTATTTGCATATAAATGTACAGTGGAAATTTGAATGTGAAAGGATTTCTTTAGCTTTTAAAGATAAATTTTTGGTAGCAACCTTCGATGCAAAAGTCCTGATTGTCTGGGTTTCCCTTCTTTAAAGTTTTAATTTAAAATGGCTTTACTGTTTTAATCAGAAGAACCTCTTTCTTTACTAATGAAATTACAAGGCTGTGAGCATGTTTGCCATCCTAAAAGAATTAATGTTCCTATATTTGCAGTTAGAATTCAGTCATTCATACTGATTGAGATCAACTGAGATCAACTGAGATCAACATAAATAAAGATAAAGATAAAAATGATAAAGATGAAAGAATAATATACTAAGCAAAGCAGATTTTTTCCCTCATTGAAAAGGATTTTTTAAAATCATTGTCACACTGTATAGTAGATCAACAGTTTCCTGAATGACAAAAAATATGGCTAATTTGTAAAAGTAAAGAGGTTTGAGTAATCTGAGGTGTCTCTTCAGATCTCTTTAATAAATACCTGAGCAACAGAAAAGACTCCTTTTCATTTAGCTGGCATAGAAACAATAAGATTGTAATGCATATTCATCTTATTTCCAAGTAACAGCCAGGCACTTTTATCTAAGTATTCTAATTTAAAAAAAAAAATTAACAGTAGATATTTAATGAAATATATGAGTGAAATTCTGGAGATAAGTAATTAACACGAGATTTACATAATTTCCCAAACTGGCAATTGCATTTCTCTCTAAAGTGAATTCTTGTGTTCAGATTTTTCTTCACTACTTCTGGGAGATTTTCCTCTGCTGCAGGTGCACACAAGTAACACACCCAGGTAGGCACATGTTTGGTAAGAGCATCTCCCTTGGTGCTGAGGTTTTGCAGGGCTCTATAGTACCATGTTGTTATCTGTGAATCCAATAAGGATACTGTGTAAGGAGTGTAATTTTACCTGGTCACAAAAATGGTATTAGACAACTTGTAAGAGTTCATATTTTTTCATTATTTTGATGTCATAAAAGTCACACTTCCTTCCATCAAAGATTCCCAGCAGATGTGGATAAGGAAAAAGAATAATCTTTCGGGTCTGTCATCGCCCTAGTTGTCTGAGCAGATGCCAGTAAATTGGACTCTGAACACCTTAAATACTGCTAGAGTTCCTTGAAAGCGGGATGTAGTTTCTTACTTTGTGGTGATGGAATAAAATAGTGTTGGTGAAAGCAAAAATGAAATGTCTTTCTTCAGTGAAAGTAGCATGGAAAAATTTATTTTAAGAAGTTCCCATGAGTCAGATTTTGATTATCGAGTTAGAACAGACTCTTTTCAAGTCTTCTGATTTTATTGAGTATTTGATTTTGAAGATATTTATACTGCTCTATCTGCCCCAGCTGCTGAAATTGGATTATTATCTGAGAAGGTAAGTTTTCTTCTTTGGAAAATAACTCCCGGATGACTGCTTGATTTGGGAAATAGCTTGACTAAAGCTAAATACTCAGGCCCTATGGGAAAACAAGAATAATCTAAATTACTTCTTTCCTGTATCTCAAACCCATAAATACACACAATGTGAAAATTAATTTATTAATATTTTATAAATAGTTAACAGAGGGAGAACAAGGACAGAAACAATGTTGCAAATTTAAAGTTTACAACTGAATACATTTTTTTAAACCAGCTATAATTTAACTTGGCTAACATTGAAGAAAATGCACAGTAAATTAAAGAAATGTTCACAGTATTTTTAGTGAGGGTACTAAATTGGGGAGTACCATTTCTAAACTATTACAACTGTTTTAAGACAACAAGAACTTAACATAGGTTGCTTACCTGGAGACACATGTTCTTGTACCTTGTGTGTGTGGTTAGAAAATGTAATAATTTGTATTAAGTGTACTTAAATATCTGAATTCTTAGTAAATTTTAGGTCATTACTTAAAATGGTAAGGCTATATGCTGGCCTGATAGAAGCATTAAGCTTCAAAAAAAGGAATCCAAATAAATATTCTTCCCATGGCCATCACAGGAGTACCATTCAGTCTCCCCACATTCCCACCACCACTAGGCCTCTTTGGCTGAGTTTTCAGATTGAGAGGTCAGATTGCCACAGGGTTACCAGAGCTGTTTTGGGGTGCAGGCACTTGGGGGTTGCACAAGTCCTGTGAGGGGTCGCTTAGGGAATGAGCCAAAGGCTGGCAAACAGAGGGATCACAGTGTCTTGGGGAGAAACAAGCATGGGAAAGCCAGGGCTATGGTGACAAGAGGCACAGGTCACCCCTGAGTGGGCTGCAGGTCAGGGTGTGACCACAAGGAGTACCAAGATGGACTAGCCAGCGAATTGGTAGTCTGGGAACGATGGGTGTTCATGGATGGGTCTCTAGGAAAGATGCAGCTGAAGGACCAAGCTGCTGGAGAGACCAGGAAGTCCAGGCTGTCTGCCAATGAGACCCTGGGACCTGGGTGTCACCTGGGAGCACCCTGTGTGTACATTTGAGACATGGTTCTGTACCAGCTCCTGGACCTGGCTGTGACCTTGGGGCCCATATGCCCAGTTGCCAGCAGCTGGGGAGACTGAGATCCAGGTGTAACTTCTACACAGCTTGCTGAAGTGTTTGAGCCCTGTGCTGGAGACCATTACACTGAACAGGTATATGTTTATAGATGTCCCAGTCAGTGTATATGTATGTGCAGTGTGTACACAGATGGTTTTTTGTGCCTGTTCTCTACTGGGTATAATGCTCAGCCTCACTACTTGTTGGATCTGAGGACATGAAGATGCAACAGCCTCACCTCCATTAGACCACCAGACTGACAACTCCTAAAAGTATCCAGCTGGCTTTTTGACTTTGAAAAATCACCCCATATTTCTATTTGACTTGATCAGATTTTAATCATAGAAATAAACAGAATTTAAAAGGTGGCATCAATTCCGACTTTGCAAAAATATTGGTCACTGGTAACATCTGTGTTTTACAAAGGCTCCTGAAGTGTTCAATCTGGCTATCTGTGATATGTACACTTGTAAGTTGTGGCAGCAGCTCTCTGGCCACTGAGAGCAACACATAACTTTCCCAGACATCATCCTAGGGAAAGGCTGTAAGAAGATCAAAGAAAAGAATGAGAAACAATTCTTATCTTCACTTGCTGCACATGTTATTGTGAACGTGGGGAATGTGTTATGGAGATCTGTTTATCAAAAGTTGATTTCTTAATTAGCCAATGGTGATGGTGCTTGGACTGGAGAACCAGTTAGGCCCACCTGTATCATAACTGTCTATAAAACAATGGGTTTCTTAATGAGTATAGCATAATAAAGAGATTGATCAGCCTTCTGTGAATCATGGAGTCAGTGCTAATTATTACCCGGCTGGGGGCCTGTGACAACAGTAACTGGCTTCAGACAAACTCCTAATGTTATGTCAAGAAAAGATTTATTTATATGAAAATAATATTTGATAATATTTCTGACTTTAGGAAAACCATAAAAGAGGAGATGGAGGATGGTAGTAGGATGTAGTTGATATCTCATCACTTTTGCAAGCTGAGTTGTATATTCATCTAATCTGATTTTTTTCATATTTTTGGTCTGTGTAGCTACCCTGAATTAACTCAAAATATTCTAACAAAGAGGCTCAAACGAGGCACTTTACTATAAAGTCATTTTCATAATACTTTCAAAATCTTCCTCAGTCATACAGTGAAACATTCATTAAGCTGATTAACCTGGATGATCTGCCCCTACGTAGCACTGAATTGTTCCTGACGCTTCCTGTTCTTCTGGAGGTATTGGATCTTTCAGACTCAGCAAATGCTAGTTATACACAACTGTCAAAGTAATTTTGCCAGTTTAAACCATCTTTTGGAATATACTTTTTCTATTGCTGACAGAATGATGCCAGGTGGGTAACTGAGGATTGAAGCAACTTCATTATAGAAGCTTGTAGCTGGAGCAAATTCTGGGTTCTCAAATAAGAGATGCTAAAAAGCAGTCCTGGTGACCATTTGGTTTGAATTCATGTACAGTGATATTATCAGAAGCTTATGACAAATTCTATGAGTGTCAACAAAATAATTAAATCAAACTAATGGTGTCTCCTTGTGCTTGGGTAAGATGATGTTGCTTAGAAATAGATCCCTTTTATGATGTTTCTGTTCATAAGTAGAATTCATCAGACATACATTTAAATATTTAATAATTACTTGAATAGAAGGTGAAAACAGCTATAATCTATTTAAACTACTAAATAGCTACTAGCACTGGTGTGTACCAGGAGGAAGTATGGGAATAAAAATTGGTACTATCATGTAAAACCAGCAATCTAGAAATACAATATTATAAAAAATTATCTGAGTGAAAGTAATTTCCTTTATACATTACAATATAAATTTTAGTCACATTAATTTAAAAACATACACCATTGAATAATAACATTTTATCTCCCCTACTTCCCCATTGAATCACAGTATTACACTTGTTATTGAAACAGCAACGGTGTTTTGCTTCTCTATTTTCTGTCAGTGGTCCAAACACAGATGCTGCTGACAGATTACACAGCCTTTACACTTCCTTCTCCTCAGGCTAGTGTTTCTATATTATTTAAAACTCAGATAACAAGCCTTGTATTGAATTGCACACTTAGGTCATATATCAAGGTAGCAAAAATTGTGGTACTGTTTTTCAGCTCATTGCATGTTAAATTACTGACACTCATGGTTGTGGACTTCATGCTGGCATTTGACAACAAAAGAGACTGGTTGCAGTCCAGGTGAGATAAGAGCTAGACAGTTGGTCCATTAATCAAGTGAACAATTTCAGCTTCACAGAATACTGGCCTCAGATGGTCTAAATTGGCTTAGTCAGTCGAGCTCTGCTGCCTCACTCCAAGGTCATGACTCCCATTTTTTATCTGATTTGTTAGTTGAGACTGCCAGTGGGTTAAGCTACACAGGCAGAATATTTTATTTTAGTGCCAGACACCTGCAGTTGACTTCAAGTGATGACACAATTTTTTACTTTATTCACAAATACCAGTATTCCTAGGCTGGAAAAGCCTAATTTGTCTTGGAACACTACATTATCTATCCTATGTTTATGGTATTGGGAGTTAAATCCTTTTGACTAAGTGGTGTCACCATGGTAGAGACCTGAAGGAGTGGTGTTGTGACCTCCTCTTCACCTCTATTGACATCTTCATTCAGATATTTAGAAGTTTTCAATATCTAAGATGTCTCTAGTTCAAACTTCTATACATAAAAATCAGTAGGTACTCACCCCATTTACTACAAATAATTCTCTCTGAAGCCAGCACCTTTCATATTTAAAGAGACATCAATAGATGTCTTAAAGAGAGATCTGTGGGAATGCAGGGACAACCAGATGTGTTCTGCACAAGCCACTTCATGTCCATATCCAGGATCCTGCCTGGCCCCTGCCAGGTGGGGAGGAGCTCGGGCACCTGCCCAGCACACATTGCTACCAGGGCAGAGCTGCCATGAGTAGAAGTGTTCAGGCACAGGAGGAGGTGCTAGCATGGATAGAGGAGGATTTGGAAAGCTGCAAATCTCCAACAAAGGAAAAATGGCCAGTTGACCTGTGCCAAGCAGCTGCAACGTTGGTACATTCATTTCCTGATGATCATGGAGAAAGTCAGCTGCCAAATCAGCTTCTTGCTCTTAAATTTGCTGTGTGAAAACTGTAACCCTGAGGTCTCCTCCCAAACCCTCTCCACTGGTCTGGAAACAGCATTAAAGCTCTTTGTTATTGCTCATTCTAAAAGGAAATATCAATATTAATTTCTTCTTTATTTAACAAAACAAAGCCATAAGGATGGATACTATGTTTCCCATTTTCTGGCACACTCAGTGTGCCAAAAATAGATATAATTCCCCCAGTGATGAGCGTGACCAGCTATTATGTTAGACTGAGCTTTTACATCAAATACAAAAGCTAATTTTTGTTTTTAAAATGAAAGGGTGTTGTTTGGGGAAGCACACTTTGCCTTTTCCTCCTACAGTCACAACATGACATGGTGAAAAGGCATGTGATAAAGTAAAGCAAGAATCTGCATCAGTTTATCTTGTAAACACTATTATTTGATATTTCAATTTACATGGATTTTTTAATTTAGTGGAAATTAGAAAGACTAAGTTCTATCACTATATTTGAAAGCCAAACATATTAATCCAAACAAATAGTTTTACCTGGAGTTTTCTAGCTAAATGTTTCTCATGGTCACTATGACAGATATCTACACTGATATATTGTGTTAATGGCCCAGGATGGAAAATACATAATTTAGAAAATTTAAATAGAGAGAGAACCAACCTGGCATCACTAACATAATAGTAACAAGGAAATAAACTCTGTCTCCAGGTTTCTACTCTGGTTTATAATGGAGAACACAATTACTATCTGGACAGACTGCTGCAACTGTGGTATCTGCCAGGCCAGTGAAGTACTTTACAGAATCTTACTTTAATATAGTTATGTATTTTTACTTGTATGATATGAACAGGAATGTAACTACCTTTTTTCATACAGCATTCAGTCATATAAATGGTTGAAAGAAAAATGAATTTTTCATATTGAACATTACTCATCAGCAGAACTTTTTAAGTATTAAATATGTGATTTGGGCTGTACAATCAGAGCACACAGCAGTTACATTACAATTAAACTTTGCAAATACTTTCAGACATCTGAAAAGCTATTTGATTTCAGAACTGCACTTTTTTCTAATTATCTAACTTTTGTTATTAGGACATTCCAGTGTATCCAGTAGTGAGAATCTGATCCTAGAACATGAGGGTAAGTTGTATATTTATATATTTTTATTCTTATATATTTTTATTCATCACTATGTGACAAATTCTGAAGCTTCCATGTTTACTTTACAAATTAATTCAATTTTTGTGTTTTCTTATAAAAAGAAATTATTTTTGAGATGTGAAAAATAATTTCAAATGAAGCCTGAAGTGTACTTGGAGAGTTAGCAAAAGGCATATGCATGTTCATGTCCTCATTCAGTTTGATTTACCTCTGTATTCCCTAGCATAAAATGTTGGACCACTCAGCAAAAATTACTTAAATATGGAGGGGTCTCACATATACTGATGATTTGACATATTGCTGCTGACAAGTCCAATTAAATGTCATAGATGAGTATTTTTACTGAAAAATGCACTGAATTTGAAAGATATTCACTTAATATTCTTCAGTAATTAAATCATATTTAAGTAAGAAGTGACTGTCCACCTGTAATACAGGTCCTATTCATAATACACTCAGAACCCAAAATGAAAATTAATAATTCTCACTGGTTAAATATATATGTCTCTAACTTGAACATCATTGCATTTTTCTTGATTATGTGTGATAAACTACACATCTGTGATGTATAATAATGATCAGACAGGCAGAATTGGAAAAAAAAAATTTTTTTTAGTTACATAGTTATTATTATTATTATTATTATTATTATTATTATTATTATTATATAAATAAAAATAAATAAATAAATAAATAAATAATAAATAAATAAACAAATAATAAATAAATAAATAAATAAATAACCTTTGCTGATGTGAATGTCTTGGCATCTTGCCTCATAAAACCCGCATGCTCCAAATGTCACTCACTATTTAAGAGCCAAA